CTTGGCATTCTCTTCTCTATTGCCTTCATTGCTCCTGCACTCTCCTACTTCTGTCTATTTTTTACCTCCTCCATGGGACTTATTTCTCCTGCCAACCTAGTACAAGACCTGAACCTTTAGGGCTGCTGCTTCTCGTTGTGCATTGGAGGTGCCCAACAGAGAGGCCAGGTGGGGGCTGAAGGTTAGCCTATGCTCTGCCTGCTAACTAGTCTTGCCTAGATGTGGACCAGGTCAGCCAGAAGAAGGGGAGCCTGTTTTTAATTAGCAGAAAGCCCTGGAAGTTGTAGCTGTGGCCCTGCCGATCGGGGCTCTCTGCTATTTGCTCCTCACTACTTTGGAGAGTGCACTGACTTGAATACCATTAGTGGTAGCCGCCATACTGAGGCCTGTAACTCTAGCCTTGACCATTTCATCAAGTCCTTTTATTTCCCAATGTCTAAAGACTAACATCCTAAGGATGTCCTAGCATGAGCACACACTCAACATAACTGAAATGACATCCATGTTCATACTCCCTAACCATAACCCCCAACTACAATTTCTGATTGCACAGCAATTCTCCTTTTCTACTATGTTAATAACTTCAAAGTCAGTCTTGGTTTATCTGACTCCTATAATACTAAAATTTAATATATTATCACGTCCTGCTAATGTATCTTTTGCAACATCTTGTCTATTTCCCTTCTTCTACATTTTCACTGCTTTAGCCTTAATTCTGGTCCATTTACTGTGTGCTTATTTTACTACATCCAAACAAAACCAGACCCACTGCAAGGCACCTCTAATTAGTTTTGTCCCCAACATTATCCCTCCAAATCGTGGTCTGTCTTAATCCTAGACTTTTGTTACTAAACCTTGGTTTTCAGCATAATCCTTGTTCAAGTTCCCTTATACAGAGACTCACAAAAAGACAGATCTGAAAGGAGCCTTAGGAATTTGAAAGCCCCATTTCCATATTAAGCAGATAAAGACACAGAGTTCCAGAGATATTAAATGGCTTCCCCAAGGCCACAGAGCTCGTCAATTAATAGCATCCAGGTCTCCTACGTGTTAGTGCAATTCTAATTCTCATTTATTAAATGAAGTGAATCTTCTGGGCCTGGCCCTGAATTACTTACCCAAATTTATTTCTCACTGATTCTCAACAAGATTCCACATTTCTTCTCATTCTCTCTGTTCCTCCTAGCATGTGCTTCCTCCCAGGTGTACATATTTTCAAATTTGACTTATCCAGTGAGCTGGCCTCCTTCACTCAGTCTCCCCTCCCTGCTTCAACTGACCCTGACGGAGCTCTACATTTCCCTGAAAGCCTGACATTCTTCCGGGCCACACCATCTGAACTGCTGCTTATGATCCCCCTGTACCTGTGTCTTACATGAGAACCAGTGCAACACTGAACTTAACAAAATGATGTGACTCCTAGTGTTCTGACACTCCTTTAAAAAGCCTGGGGCACAAAAGTATTTTGAAATAAAGTAGCTGATTATGACAGAAGACAGTCCTAAGTGAACATCTATTGTCAGTTTAGCACCATTCAACACATATAAACAAATCACAAAAGAACAAAGATCAAATTGAAGTTAAAATTACTTGACAGTGCCCTTTTAAAACACATTTCAAAGAACTGGTCATTATTATATTCTAATCCAGTTGTTCTCAAACTTTTTGGACTCAGACCTTTTATACTCTAGAAAATCACTGCAGACTCCAAAGAGGTTTTTTTTTTTTAATCTAAAGAGCTGGGTTTGATTTATTTATATTTACTGTATTAAAAATTAAAACAGAAAAATTTTAAATATTTACTTATTAATATTCATTAAGACAACAACAATCCCATTACATGCTATCTTAGATAATATTTATTATGAAAAGTAACTATATTTTCTAAAATAACAAAAAAATTTAGAAAAGTGGCATTGTTTTACAGTTTTGGAAATCTCTTTGTCTGGCTTAGAGACAGCTGGACTATGCGTCCAATCAACTACATTATAACATGTTGTGTAGCTTCTGGATAATTTCACCGCACACTAGTGAGAGAATGAAAGTGAAAAGGTATATAATACCTTAGTATTAATATAAAAAAGGTTTTCTCAAGAATCCCCTGAAAGAATCTTGGGGACTCCTGGGGCTCAATGGACCACACTTTGAGAACCACTGTTATCCTCAAAATTGATACTGAGTTTGTTGCCACATTTTTTTTTTCTTCATTTGTTTGTTTCTTTGTTTAAGTATAGTCTATTTTTAGATAATAATTTTCAATGTAGCTGGTCAAAAAATGAACCACACTACCTTCAGTTCATGTTTTTGCTTTAGTTGCTGAATCTCTACTGCTCCCACAGTGTTTGCCATCAAATCTTTCATCTTTTTCTCATAGTGCTCCTTTAAACGGGTTAGGTCATGAGAAAGCTATAGCATAAAGAGATACAATCTTTTCACAAAATGCTCTGTAGCACTTTTAGACAATCTTACATTGAAAAGTACTTCATCAGTGTCTGGCGAATGGTGTTCACGTGCCAGAGCATAACTTGGAATGAATGCTTCTCAGGAACCATGTACACCGTACCACAGGACAGGCCCTATTGCTAGCCCAGCTGATTTTTGAAAAATAAATAAATAAAAACATGATCAAAAGACTGATGCTATTTTAAGTGAGCCAGAATGGAGACTTCTTTATGCCAACCAAGGGCAAATAAATGAAACAAAAATCTATGTAAAATCATTCTTTTACATTTTGATGAAATTAAAATGACCAACTATATAAAAAAATACATAAAATAATTCCATTATGTCATCACCAAAGCAAAAGTTGCTTGTATTTCAAATTATACTGAATAGTGGCATCTTCTTGAAATGGCCAACATGGATATTTAATAGTCTCCAGACTGTCTCCAAACTTTCTAAGTTATGGAGATGGAGGAAAATCTTGATTCTTCACATGATCACAAATAACTCAAATACACATAAGCTAAAGTCCCACCGCTCCTGTGCTAACACTTCCCATGGTAATTAAGACAAATACTATTTTAGGCAATTTTTAATAGAAATTTAAGACTTTTCTTGAGATAACTTTTAAATAATTAAGCAGTTTTATTTTGTACTTTTTAAAACATGACTTCTTAAACTAGAAAATTTGGTACTTCTATCTTGAACAGGCATAAACAACAAACGCACTGTTGTAACTTTCCATATATACTCATCCCATTATCCCCCACTCCTGTCCCAGGATGCTGTACTATGCAGAAGTTTGGAAAAATAAAGTAAGTACAGGGCTCTGTATTACTTTCATTAATATTTTTCTGCACTCATGAACCAGTTTTGTTACAGCTTTTAATGTATATACTCTCCTAGCAGTGAAAGGCTGCTGAACCATCTACACATTCTCAACTGGACATTGCAGGAGGTTTTCTTAATAATATACATTTATTCTGAGGCAAAGACTTTAAGTTAATATCAATGGCCTCATCAGAGATGCAACACCTGACCTAGCTCAGTTTGTACTATAATCAACTATGTTGAATGAACACAAAATGTAAGCATATTTTACAACTGTTCCAAGGCACCCACTGAATACAGGCACTCCTAACTGTCAATCAGAACAGGTACACACAGTTCTTATGTAGCCTTGTTTTCAGAGCACTAAAGAGCTCTAGCGGTGCAGTGGTTAAGGCACTCAGCCACTAACCAAAAGGTTGGCGGTTTTAAACCATTAGCTGCTCTGTGGGAGAAAGATGAGGCATTCTGCTTCTGTGTCCATAAAGATTTACAGCCTTGGAAACCTTATGGGGTAATTCAAGTCTGTCCTATAGGGTCACTATGAGTCAGAATCGACTCCGTGGCAGTGGGTTTTTTGTTTTAGGAGCTCTGGTGGTGGCAGTTGTTAAGGCATTTGGTTGCTAACCAAAAGGTTGGGAGTTTGAATTTACCAGCCACTGGTAGGTGCGAGAAAGATGAGGTGATCTGTTTCTGTAAAGATTTACAGCCTTGGAAATACTAAGGAACAGTTCTACTCTGTCACATAGGGTGGTTATGAGTCGGAATTGACTTGATGGTAGTGGGTTTGGTTTTAGTGCAAGAAAAGGTTTAAAGTCTTTTCAATTATTTAAAAGCTGCATGGGCACCAAGTGAAGGTGATTGTGATGAAGAATTTCAAGTAGAAAGTTCAATTGTTTTAAAGCGAAGGCATATTTACATAACAGTAAAGGGCCAATATGATTTGTCCAGAACTGGGAGGTTCATAACCTAGGGACTACCTGTACCACATCTGTTGAAATAAAAGCCCATCATATTATTTTTAAAATCTTAATATAAATCCATAATATATGAATAAGTTATATTCAGTGAAATATCACCTTAATTATTAGCTGTTAAAAACTATAATTTGTTTATTGAATCTTAGTTGTCATAGTTCTAGGTAATTAAAAAGAACTACCTAGAAAAGACTTGTTAATAATATCAGGTAGTCAAGTTGATCACCAAAAATTTGTAGATTCCTCTTGAGTTTTATGAGACAAGTTTACAGAATATGAGAATACTAAGAAACCTGTAATAACTTGTAAATGCTAAGATATCTGTAGGTTACATCTAAAGGATATATCAATCCAGGTATCTCCAATTGACTTGATGGTAGGGGGGGCATCAGGTCAAAGTTTGGATCAATAAGTATTTCACCTTAACAATATCAGACTGACCAGACTATCACACTAGGCATAAACCTGACAGTCATTAGTTAAGAAGTGCATGTAACCCACATAACAATCTCATATGTAAAGTATATACAGTACACTCCCATTCCTATAGAACTAGTATAAACCAAACCTTTTATAAACAGCCAAAAATAAAATACAATTTTTTTTATTATTACATATATGGCATAGCCAGTTACTATTGAAAAGTGAAAGCCTTAATTTGATGATTTGCCTTGATATCTTAGTTCAATATCTTAGAATTCACTGTCTAAATCTTCAAAGTTTCTCCTAGGATCCTAATCTCAGGAGTTATCTTATTATTCAGGAGGAAAACACTGAAGTTCCAAATATCACTTTAAAGGAAAATAAAGTTGGACTGTTCCTTAAGTAAACCTCCTCTATTCAATGTGCACAGCAAATAGTAAATGTGCATAAACAGTATTACGTGTGAGGTACATAATATTATATAACACAAAAAATTCACAGGATAATTATTTACTTTCTTAAAATAGTCAAGATGGTAAGCCTGTTTAGAATATTTTTGGTGACATAATTTCATGGCAATATTTACTCTGTATAATAAAATATGCCTTTTTCTTCAGTATGCTTTCTTAAAATACATACCAACATTTTTAAAAATGAACATTTAATACTTTATTGACCTAAATTAGATTTTCAGCAGTCCCATTTATATGTCATTGTAAGAATATTGTTACACAAATGAACAAAATACATACTTGTCTTTTGTGGTTGCTACGCAGGAAGGACCTAGGAACTCCATTTTTGCACTCTGAGTCACTTTGCTCTTCATAACTTTCAAATTCACTTGAGCTCCAGCCATATTCCAAAGAGCTGTTTCCACCTTCATCCCCATTTTCAACATCATCATAAATCATTTCATCTGAATGAATAAAATTCCAAAATTAAATTAACATAAAAATATAGAGTTCAATAGTTATTGTTTGTCCTGGTTTGTTGTTCTACCCTATGGTCTAGGGAGGAGAGCAGAAGCAGAAGAGAATAATTGGGAGGAACAATGCAGAGCCTCAGGTGCGCTCCTCTAGAAAGGTGTCAATCAGAACGACCAGAATGTTAAACTGGGAGCTGTACAATTTGAAAAGTTCTTTGGGTGTTTCTGATAGACCCTTCAGCCCCATTCATATGCTGAAGATCACAATTACACCAAATCATTTGCAGACTGTAGAGTACTTATGAAGGAAAATTTTTCTTTAGATAAAAATATGGAATATAAATAGATATGTTATGTGCTGTCGAGTCGGACCCAACTCATAGTGACCCCTCCTTGGGTTTCTGAGACAGTATCACTACGGAAGTAGATTGTCCAACCTTCCTTCCAAGGAGTGGCTGGTGGGTTTGAACCGCCAGCCTTCTGGTTAGCAGTCAAGTGCATTAGGCACTATGCTACCAGAGCTCCCATAAATAGATATGTTGTTGTTGTTGTTGTTATGTGCCGTCGAGTCAAACCCGACTCATAGCGACCCCTCCTTGGGTTTCTGAGACAGTATCACTACGGAAGTAGATTGTCCAACCTTCCTTCCAAGGAGTGGCTGGTGGGTTTGAACCGCCAGCCTTCTGGTTAGCAGTCAAGTGCATTAGGCACTATGCTACCAGAGCTCCCATAAATAGATATGTTGTTGTTGTTGTTATTTGCCTTCGAGTCGGCCCCGACTCACAGCGACCCCTCCTTGGGTTTCCGAGGCAGTATCACTACGGAAGTAGGATTGCCCAATCTTCCTTCCGAGGAGTGGCTGGTGGGTTTGAACCACCAGCCTTCTGGTTAGCAGTCAAGTGCCTTAGGCACTATGCTACCAGAGCTCCTTAAATAGATATGTTGTTGTTGTTGTTGTTATGTGCTGTCGAGTCGGCCCCGACTCATATAGACAGATGATATTCAAAGACTGATGCAAGTATCTCACTTCAAACAATGGTAAAATTTGCTTTTATGCTTAAAATCGTCTAATAAAACTTATAAACAATCTACTACTGTAATAAATGGTTTTATCACATCAATCATTTTAGAATCATTGAAGAACATATCATGTTTGCTACCAAATATGATGTCAAGGTATCTTTATAAAGAAAATTCTGAGGGCAAAGTCCCTGTCTTTTATTTCATAATCTGTATTCTGAAAATGTGAATTAAACTGAACTGAGTTGCTTCACGAGCCTCTCTGTATTCCCATAGCAAGCAAAAAGACTTGATATTCATAATTAATATGCTTCCTTCAAATAGATGCAAACTTATCAAGACAAAGAGGAGTTATGTGATATACCCTGATTAATATAAAAATACATAGTACAGCGTGAAAATACATACAGACTTTTATTTTCTGTATTTCAATGCAGGGTCACTGGCAATAAGCCTTCCAAAGAATGAAAATGTCATTCTTCAAAATCTCAGAATATTGTTATTGCTGTTGTATGCCATGGAATTACGACTCATAATGACCCTATAGAATAAAGTAGAATTGCTCCATAGGATTTCTTAGATTGTAATACTTAAGGAAGCAGATCACCAGGTCTTTTCTCCTGCAGAGCAGCTGCTGGGTTCAAACCACTAACCCTTTGGTTAGCGGCCAATGGCTTAACCACTGCACCACCAAGCTCCTTCCTAGAATATTAGTGTCTCTCTAATTTCTATTATTCATTAAATACGCTACTATAAAGAGAGGAGCTTGAGTGGCACAAGTGGTTTGTGATCAGCTGCTAACCTGAAGGTTGATGATTCAAATCCACCCAGAAGCTCCACAGAACAAATCCCTCACAACTGCTTTTGTAAAGATTACAGACACAGAAATCCTAGGAGCAGTTCTGCTCTGTCACACATGGCTCACCATGACTTGGGGCCATCGCAACAGCAGCTAACAACAAAAACAACCACAAGCACTTCTCTTTTTTCGGTGCCAAAACTCGGGATCGAACCCATAAATAGTTCTTTATTTTAGCAGATGTTTCTACATAAACGGCTTCATGAGATTAAGAGTGATTTTCTTTTAAAGGTTGTACAAAGTAATAAGAGGATGGCATTTCCGGGTCTTAAAAATATAATCATATTCTCTATTAAACTTACTCCTTGTGGGTCCTCATGTTCACTGTAATAAAATACGGCCTTAAACTCATAGTAATTAAGCACTGATTAATATATTCTAGAGGGCAAAATCAAACTTAGTATACAAATGACATTTTAAAACAAACATTTGTTTTAATTGCAAATGAGAAATTAGACATTAACTTCTCATTTCAAAATTCTACTGATATTTCATACTACCGTACTTTTTTTAAAAATTTTTCCAATAAATTCAGATTAATTCTTTCAGACTACAAAACAGATCATCCAAATATCTGATTAAAAACTCTAGAAATTAAATGTTGTCTGGGTATATACAACAAAGTATATATACGTAATTTGTTGTTGTTGTTGTTATGTGCCGTCGAGTCACACCCGACTCATAGCGACCCCTCCTTGGGTTAATGAGGCAGTATCACTACGGAAGTAGATTGCCCCATCTTCCTTCCGAGGAGTGGCTGGTGGCTTTGAACCACCAGCCTTCTAGTTAGCAGTCAAGTGCCTTAGGCACTATGCTACCAGAGCTCCTATATATGTAATTACTCCTTTTAAACTGCGACACAGTGGTCCCTTGAATATATTCACCACTATTTGTTTATCCATTCATCTGTTGTGGAGCCACAGTTGGTTGCATTTTTCCCACACCATTTCCTTTTGATGAATAGCATTGCAAATAAACATCCCTGAACATGTATGTTTGTACAGTAATTTCCCTAGGAAATACAACTATAAGTAAAACACAGGTTCATAAGTATCACCATGTTCACATTTGCTAGTACTTCAAGTCATCTTGAAGCATTCAGCAAACAAAATTGTGTCATCTGCATATTGCAGGTTGTTAGTGAATCTTCCTCCAATCCTGATGCTACATTCTTCTTCATATAGTCCAGCTTCTTGGATTACTTGCTCAGCACACAGATTGAATAAATAAGGTGAAAGGATACAACCCTTCCTGATTTTAAACCACACAGTAATCCCCTTATTCTGGTTGAATGCCAGCCTCCTGGTATATTACAGGTTCTTCATGAGCACAATAAGTGTTCTGGAATTGCCAATCTTCATGATGTTATATATAATTTGTTATAGTTACAGTCAAATGCTTTTGCATAGTCAATAAAACAAAAGTAAACATTTTTGTGGTATTGTTTGCTTTCAGTCAAGATCCATCTTACATCAGCAATGGTATACCTCATTCCACACCCTCTTCTGAATCCAGCTTGCATTTCTGGAAGTTCCATGTCAATATACTGATGCAGCTGTTTTTTTTTAAGTTATGTTCAGCAAAATTTTGCTTGTGTGTGATATTAATGATATTGTTCAATAAATATGCTTTGGGAACCGAGAAAAAATACACAATACACCTACTCTTCATTTATTGTCCCATTAAGCATTTATAAGAATAGTGAGACATTTTGCATTTACAAGATAGTGAGAAATCTACTCTCTGACTATTTTGTGTATTAATGACACATGTATGGCACTAAAAGAGCTCTGGTAGCGTAGTGCCTAAAGCACTTGACTGCTAACCAGAATGCTGGCAGTTCAAACCCACCAGCCACTCCTTGGAAGGAAGGTTGGGCAGTCTACTTCCATAGTGATACTACCTCGGAAACCCAAGGAGGGGTTGCTATGAGTCAGGTTCAACTCAACGGCACATAACAACAACAACAACAACATATGGCAGTAAAGAATGCTGAGATACAAGATGAAGACTAATGTTGGCTGTGATGGTTAAGGTTATGTGTCAGCTTGGCTGGGCCATGATTCTCAGTGGTTTAACAGTTATGTAATGATGCAGTCACCCTCCATTTCATGATCCAATGTGGTCATCCGTCAATGTCTCATAACATCAATTTTCACATAACGACCTGGTCTTTGGAACCTAACCATGATGACAAGTAAAGAGTGGGTGTAAGACATTTGATTCTTACTGCCACAATAGTTTTGGAACTATTTGTGGCAATTTTAAGCCAATTTCTCTTGCCCTAAGAAAGAGAGAGGTATTCATTCAATGAATAGTTCCACAATTCTTCACTGAGCCTGTATGCACCTGGATCCCTGCTGAGTGTTATAAAGGGGACACAACTGAGTCTAACCAGAACCACTATCACCTTTGATAGATGGGCTACTGGTACAGCTTGGGCTACTTGGCTTCAGAGACTCCAAATCATAACTTCTATGTGAAGAAATACCTAACTAATAGAATTAATTACCCAAGAATGCATTTTTTAACCAATGTTTATAAAAACTAGTATTTAGTACACACTTTATTTGCAGCATATACTCTTGTGGTGCAGTGCTTAAGGCATTTGACTGCTAATCTAGGTTCAAACCCACCAGGCACTCCTCAGAGGGAAGACTGGGCAATCTGCTTCTGTAGAGATACCACCTCGGAAACCCAAGGAGGGGTCGCTGTGACTTGGGATCAACTCGACGACAGTGAATTTGGTTTTCTGTTTTTTTATTTAAGTAATTACTTATGAGCATATCTACTAAAAAGTACCTAGGAGATTTATTTATAAATAGACCTAAATTTGCTGATCTCTCACAATACAGCAATCATGAGAGCAGCAATTTTGTTTAGCTGAGCCTAGAACAGTGCTTAATATTTAATAGGTGCTCAAAAGTATTTGTGGAATGAATTAATTAATAAATGCTTTTAACTCTTCACCATTAAGGATGATTGCTGTAGATTTTAAGATGTGTTTTATTAAGCAAAGAAAGTATACTACTATTATTGAGTTTTTACCATAAATGGCCATTGATGACTCTTGTTTTTTTTTATTTGGGTGAAAGTTTACAGAACAAATTCA